CTTCATCACTTCAATTAGCTCCTCCAGAGCTAGTTTTCATACCCCTGCACGATACTGCTGAAAGTCATGTGCACATCCCAGTCTGTGTCTTGTGACTGTTGAATCTTAAAAACATCCAGGTTGGCAGGGACCTTCAAAGATTTTACAGTCAAACCTTCCTGTTGAAAGCAGGAATACGGTCAGAATTATCCAGGGTTGCATCAAGCTGAGCCTTGAATATTTCCAACAGTGGAGATTCTGTCACCTGAATTTTTCAGTCAGTCTGTCTTGGACAAGGAAGACAGAGTCTGGACACAGCATCCCACGTGTTGCCAAACAGGTGGTAAATAGAGGGGAATAATCAAACCCTTGACCTGCTGGCTGTGGTCCTTGACCTGCTGACTCGGCTCTTGCTGGTGCAGCCTGTGACAAGGTTTCATTTAATTGCTGATCTGTGTGAATGTCTGAGAGCCTCAGGGATGGTATCTAAAAGCACCAAAATTAAGGCAGACCTGGCAACACTCTATGACGGGACCTTGTGATGCTCAGCATCTGAGCTGATTCTGAAAAATTTACTCATCAGTATCAAAACCTATGATAAAGCCAGTAGAAGCACTATGGAAAATTCCTTCTTAATTTTTGTTTAAAAATTGATTGTCAAAAGCAATAACACTTGTTCTTTCTGATTTATATTCTCTTTTAATAAATTAAATTTCAAAAAGGATTATGAAACTGTGGATGCTATCATAAAAGGAGCGCAGGGGCCCTTTCTGCAATACTGACTCCCAAAATACACTTTTAACTACTTTCTGCTTTTCTTCTGTTGATTTCACAAAATCTGACATTCACGACTGCGGTAGTGGACTAAAAACCCTTAGCACTTTTAAATTTCAGCCTGTCATATTTCTTCCCAGCTTTGCTTTAAGCTTACCTCTCACCAGGAACTGTTAAGTTTCATTCAGATCTGCAGCCTTCTCAGTTGAGTTTAATAATATTTCCCTTCTCCTCCCAAAGGTGAGGGGTGAAATATTCCTTTCTGCATGTCTGTCTCCAGTACTTCTGCTGCATACCTTTGCAGCACTTACCTAACTGCTCTCCAGTAGCATAGCAGGAGACTTGCCTCGCTTTGTGAAACTCCTGGACTTTGCAGAGAAGTGCTCCTGAGGAACTGCAACTGCAGCACAGCTCTGTCTGCTTCCTCAAGTGTCACCCATCTTTCATAAACCACAAAGAGCTGACAAACGCGATTGGACCAATTGCTATCATGTCACTTATAAAAGTTTATTGATGCAGATGTCTTTGGGGGTGTTATTTATTCTTCTTCTGGTCAATGCATGTTAAGTATTTCCAGTTATTGCAAAATGTACCTGCTTGCAATTGGTTATATGAGCAAAAAAGATGACTAAACAGACTGAAAGTGAATATCACATGTGGGAGTCCGTGTTTGTAGTCATGTGTGTGGATATATAGTTATCAGTGTTTCACTACTGTGGTACGAAGGCCACTCGGCCACTCAGCCTCTCAGCAGCATTTGCTAAGTTGCTCAGATAACACCTGAGAAGTGAATGTATTGATCTGAGAGCCCTCCCAGGACCTTTCCTCATGACACGGTGGTAAAATATATAGTGGTAGCAACCCTGAGGCTGAGCAGCCTTCAAGGATGAAAGCTTTCTGGTCCTCCTGAAATGCTTCTGTCTTATTATCAAACAGTAGTCAGTTCCAGAGAGATGTGAGTATCCACTCTGCGTGTGCTTTTTGTATACTGTGGTCTTTTTAAAAATGAAAAATATCACCTCAAACTTTTTATGAATGAAGAGGATAAGGCATGTGGAAAGAAGAAATTGTGGCAGGGATTTGGTATGAGGTATTACTGTCCTCTTTATAATGCATTGTTGGCTCCATTCTTAATTGTATCCAATTTATATATTTGCTACCTGAAATCTGTCAGAGCAACACAGGTACATGCAAAGGTGCTAGTATTCCTTCACTCCATTTAATTTTAAAATATCGTTCTCTATCAGTGGAACAACAGAATAGCTGCTAAACTTGGCCATGCAACAAGTAGCAGAGTAGGACAAACTTATATTTAATTTCAAAATCTTGAAGTTACGTTCCCAGGAGCTCCAGTATGAATAATAAGTGTTGAGAATAATGATGTTCTCTTTCTTTTAAATTAAGGGCATATGCTTGGGGACTTCTAAATCCAAAACCTCATTAAATGTTCTGTCCTATTGCTATGTTAAGATTCTACAAGATAAAAAGCAAAAGTTATAGAAAATTCAATACTTTTCCTACCAATGTCTAATTGCTCTTTTCAGGGTTTGCTAAGGAAATTGTTGCTCCAATAACTGGTTGAGTTTAGAAAATATTCTTGTAAGATTTTAGTAATCTGCAGTAGACATAGTACTACCTTTCATCAAATAAAAAGTACAGCAATATTTTCCACTACACTCAAAAGCAAAAATTAAAAACAGTGCTGAATTTGACTTGGCTGTGTAATAGCCAACTAGTCCTATATTACATGCTATGAAGGTAGAGCATAAAAGACTTCAGACAATTTCTCCAAAGTTACTTAGCAAATCTGCTACTGAATCAGAATGAGACTACTTTTCACCTAATGCTGTGTCTCATGCTTTAACATATAGGCTATATTTTGCCTTTCAGTAACAATAAGAAAGGCTTCCAGAACAAAATTTCTAACATCAACCTGTGAGATCCAGTAACCTCACTATTGCCTCAAGCTAAAAGTGGCTGTAAGTTTTTAAGAAGCTGCTCATCCTCAGCACTTACATGAGACTAACGCTTAGAGAAGTAAAGTTGCACTTTCCCTGGGAATGTAGGTCTATCCATTTTTTTCAAGACTAATCTATTTGCAGAGCCCTAGGACACAGGATACAGACTTCTGGAGATCATCTGTTCTAATCCATCACTCAAAGCAGGGCCAGGTTATGTCAGGTTGCTCAGTGCCTGGTCCAGTAGAGTTTGACTATCTAAGAGATGGAGGTCACATAGTCTACAGGCCCTTGTTTCAATGTCTGACCACACTCACATTGTGAATGTTTTCTTCATAATATCTAACTGGAATTTCCCAAGCTGCATAGCTATTGACCTCTGGAAACCATGCACCTTCATATTTTTCTACTATCTCTCAGGAGGCAGTTGCAGAGAGTGATAAGATCTGCCTGTGAGTTTGGTAATGCAGCCCAGGATGTGGTTGGCCTTTTTTTTTTTTTTTTTTTTTTTTAATTCTTATTAATGACACAGACAAAGGGACCCTCAGCAAATTTGCAGATGACACCAAGCTGAGTGGTGCAGCTGACACACCTGAAGGATGGGATGCAATCCAGGGGGACCTGAACAGAGTTGAGAAGTCAACCCATGGGAATCTCATGAGGATTAAAAAGACCAAGTGCAAAGTATTGCACCTGGGTATGGGCAACCCCCAGTATCAATACAGGCAGGGGGATGAGCAGATCTAGAGTAGCCCTGCTGAGAAGGAGTTTGGGGTGCTGGTGATTAAGAGGCTGGACATGACCCAGCACTGTGCACTCACAGCCCAGAAAGCCAGTTGTGTTCTGGGCTGCATCCAAAGTTCTGTGGCCAGAAGGTCAAGGGAGATGATTCTGCCCCTCCACTCTGCTCTGGTGAGACTCACCTGGAATGCTGCACCCAGCTCTGGGGTTCCCAACACAGACCTGTTGCAGCAAGTCTGAAGAGATGTAGCACCTCTCCTGTGAAGAGAGGCTAAGAGAATTGGGTTTGTTCAGCCTGAAAAAGGGAAGGCTTCAGGCTGACCCAGCTGTAGCCTTCCAGTACCTGAAGAGAGTCTACAAGAAAGCTGGAGAGGGACTTTTTACAACAGCATGTAGTGATAGGACAATGGGGAATGGGTTTAAATTGAAAGATGGTAGGTTTGATTAGATATTAGATATTAGATATTAGATATTAGATATTAGATATTAGATATTAGATATTAGATATTAGGAAGAAGTTGCTTACTGAGAGAGTGGAACAGGTTGCCAGGGGAAGTTGTGGATGCACCATCCCTGGAAGTGTTTAAGGCCAGGATGGATGGAGCTCCAAGAAATTTGATCTAGTGAAGGGTGTCCCTGCCTATGGGCAGGAGGGTTGAAAACAGATGACCCTTAAGGTCCCTTCCATCCCAGGCTATTCTGTGATGCTATGACTCTATGGTTCTATGATTCTTGGCTGCCAGGCCTCATGTTCAACTTCTCTAGCAAGTGCCCACTGGTTCTTTTCTGCAAACCTGTTTTCTATATAGGCAGTATCCAGCCCCTATGGTTTCAAGAGCTTATCGTCTCCCAGCTGCAGAGCTTTGCATTTGCCTTTGCTGACTCTCGAGGTTCCTGTGGGCTATTTTTCCAGCTTCTCCAGGTACTCCTGAATGCCCTTTATCCCTGCTCTTGAGTGTACCAGCCACCTGCACTAATTTGACATCATCCTCCAACTGATTGAGAGCGTACTCCATCCCATCAACTAGATCATTAATACATCTTCAGTATTTTTGAACTCAATATCAGATGAGAAATGCTGCTAGCAACTTGCTGTCAGTTGAACTTGATACTATATATCCAAACCCCTGGAACCTAATCAACCAGCCACTGTTCCACCCAACTTACTGTCATCCACCTAAGCCATGTCTCACCAATTTGGCTATAAAAATACCACACAAATAGTATGGACCATACAATAGTCATACAAAAGTACGGTTACTACACAGTCAAAGGTGTTGCTAAAGTCAAAGTATACAACATCCACTGCTTCCCCTTCATTCACAGAACCTGACAGAACTTCATAGAAGGTAATCAGGCTGGTCAGGAAGGATTTACCCTCAGTCAGTCCTTTCTGACTGTTTCAAATCCCCTCATCTTTTGTGACATGTGGGATTGGGCCCTGTAGAATATGGGCTGTAAGCAGTAGATGGTGTTGGTGAACACTGGTGAATGTGTAGAGAATGCTGCCCTCAGGCATGGAACCTTACAACCATGTCCACTGTTGGCATCACAAAGACTGCTGAACCATGTCCCAAGACTGGATCCCTACAGGCACAGTCATGTCCATGCTTCTTCCAGAGTAAAACATTCCCTCAGGTAGGCAGTAAAATTTATAGCAGTTAAGCCAAAAGCTGTCGCTTATCTGTTTGATTTTGGAAGTAATTTTTTTACCATGGCATGATCACATGCCAATAAATCGCACCAGAATCTAACCTTGAACCACCTCCTTAATCTTTAAAGGAAAATTTTCTAATTCATACTATCACTTCCAGAGAAAAGCAACAGAATTCTATAAAGTTTCCCACTAGCCACAGATCCATGAATAGAGAGAAAAAATTTTAGCAAATATGTAGCCACTGCAGCATGTAACTTTTGTGGTATTTTTATTTGGTGTCCAGTTGTTTTTTCTTCTGTGCAAATAGTCTTACAACATAACAGGGTGAGGATTAAGGATAAAGAATAGCAATGGAGCAAATTGGGAGAGAGAGAAAATCTATGGAATCAAGTGTGAAGACAAGGTCATTATCACCTGAAGAACAGACCTACTCTTCCTGACCATCTGGCTGTCTCTCATTCTCTTTTCCTCTCCCTCCCAATCTTATTCTTTCAGATGAGAAATATTTTCCTCTTTTTTAGCACAACAGCAGCAACATTTGAAGGTCAAAAGCACATAAACATGATAAGACATTCCACTAGTTCCTAAATGGCTGTAGAAAGTTATTGTAATCAGAACAACATCAGAGCTGGGAAGTTGCCACTTGAGTTATCATGGACTTTCTCTAGCATCCAGAAACAACACATTAATGGATCAGAAGTTCAGCTCAACATTCCATGTGCTATACCACACCACAGGCTGCAAACACCTTTCAATCTCCTACAATTAATGTCTGTGAAAAAAATACTAGCAGCACCAAAGTGCTGTTGGACTCAAATGGCCTGAGTCAGTCAGTCTTCAGCCAAGTTCCTACTCTGTGCAGTACAACTCCTTTTTGGGGACTACACCAGCATCTGGTGAAAATGGGAATTGTAAACGAATGTCCTTGGTGTGTTGTTGAGAGCAGATCAGAAGATATCTCCTCATTGCTTCTGAGTGTCTCTTTGAGCACTGAAGAGGAGAGTGGATAAGACTTTGAGAGACAGAAACAGCAATTGCCTGTTGAGACTTTTACCAATCCTGGAATTTTGCGAATGAGGATACAAGGCAGTCTAGAGAAAGGCTACAAGGAGACTGAAGAGTTTAAGTATCAAGATGTTGCCCCAACTTACAAGACAGATTTCTTTAGTAATTTGTACAAATTTTCTCTATGTTCATAAACCAAACCAGATGTATTCAGTGCACATGGTAGGTGCTTGTTTGCATCAACTTTTTAGTATTTTCTTGATTTTTTTTCCCTTGGAATCAAAGTTTAGTGATACAGTGATAACTACTCACCTCTGGATCACATGCAGAATTATTTGAACACTGAAAAGATTTTTGAACTTCTTCAGAAAAGCCAATGAATTGTCTTCTTAGAGGAAAAAATGTGAATTAACTCCTGTTAGAAAGGAGTGCAATTGATTTAACTGACCTTTACTAGCCCGAAGGAGCATGGATCTGTTTTATAAATATTTCTTGTGTCTTTCACGAGACAAAAGAGCAGCATGCAATGGTCAAGAGCAGCTACTCAAGCCTTGAGTTATCCACCCGGACCATGAATTCTTGGGAGGGTTTATCATAGAGATCATAGAAAGGTTTGGGTTGTAAGGGACCTTAAAGATCAGGATGGGACCTTCCCATAGCATGTTTTTTGCTCCAATGTGTTAAGGATAAAATTCATTGTTTCTCCTATGCACTGCTGTGCAGAGAATGAAATAGAAACCAGCTCTTGCTTCTGCTATTGTGGTGGCCAAGTTAGGGAACAAGTTTGCTCATGGTCAGAGAGAACCAGTTTTGAGGCAACAACAATCTATATTCTGCCATTTGGGTTTTGCAGTGCGGTTTATCGGTGAAACGTGGTCAATGTCTTTGGTCAGCGAGAAGAGGGAAGCAGCTTAGACGCATGAAAAGTAGATTGGATACTAGAAGCAGTGAAATCACTCAAAGCAAGAGATATATCCTGAAATTTTACAGCGTGTCAGCTCCTTTCCTGTGACTTACTGTGGCAAATAAAACTGGAAATGCAAGGAACTCCAAAGCTTTTTCCTTTGGAGTTGTCTTCTGACTATTTCCTCCTCTGGAACAAGCACAGAAGTCTTGGTCTACTGGGAGGGTTTCCAGTCTTAAGCACTGGGACATGTCCCTGGGAACTGGGTTGAAAAGATAATCCAAGCAATACATAAAAATATCCCTTTTATTCTAGTTCAAATGCTAGTATGTGGTTATCATGGTTGCCAAATCTACCCTAAAAAAAATAAACCAAAACAAAAAACCCAACAGGAAAATCAAGTCTTTCCAACCACATGGAAGAGAAGCTGAAGCACTTTAAGGACTGTGACTCCTGAAAATAAGATGCAGGCATCCACTGTCTGAGCATTCATGGCAGACATCCTTCTCTGAGCAAACAGGCTTGGAAATAGCAGAGATTTTTTTTAAAATACCATTGAACAAACAAGGAAATTAAACACTGAAAACTCATGATGGATGCAGAGCAGTGATGAACTCAGATGTTTGGGTTCATACAGCATCTTACATACACATGCCTGTACCCATACACAGGCAAGAAATCTCAATATAAATGAAATATTAATGACCATTCAGCTGCTCAGATGGGACAGACATCTGTACCACAGAACACTGGAAACCCTCGTCTTTTTCAAGTGAGGCCCTCTGCATCTGGTGACCAAAGATTTCTTCTTCCTCCAGAGGACAGGAGAGCTGTTCAGCGAGAGATTGTGAGCAGCAGCCCAGTACTTACACAGAGTGAAGTTCATGGTCTATAAAGAGCCAGAGATGTCTCAAAAAAAAAAGAGAGAAATAATGTGTAAAGGAGCACGAGCAGAAAAAAGGAATTAGAAGTTAAGGCATGAAGTCAGGGATAAGGCCACTGAGGCTGCAAAATCAGGCACACAAAAGATAGGGAATAGGGAAATATGAGAAACGCAAAGCCAACTGTTGCTTGTTTTTTTTTTTCTAAAGTCAAGTTCCTCAGTTTGGGAGACAACATTTCTAATTTTCTAAATGCTGAGAGGATGGATGGAGAGGGAGAGTTATGGCATGACAGCTGCCAGCAAGTTTGCTAGGGTTGACCATATCTGCCTGGGTTCCTCAGCATGAAGACTCTACCTCCCTTTATTTGCTACAGTCATGCTGTTTTGATGACATTTTTAGGAGATGGAATGAACGGGGTGATACTTTCCGAATGGGCCGATACTTTCCATTGAGTCAGCTGAACCCTAAACCTAAACATACATCATCTGAGCAGTAGCTGCTAAAATTGAAATTGTTATGGGTGTTCTTGAGCACTGGCACTCAGCGTGAGGGCCTCGTAGCGTTGGAAGCATTTTGTACCCTGCTGAGAGTCGATCGCTGCCTGACGCAGCTCACAGTCTGAGGTGGCAGTTAAGGTAATGCTTCTTCAAGAAAATATCTCTTGCTGTTTTAATTTGAGCCAAACCAACATCCTCCTCATTACCTAGGCCTCTTGTCTCACCTCCTGCACCATTACTGCTTCAGTCAGTGACCCTCTGTACTAGCCTGCCTATGGGAAAAGAGTCTTAAGGCTTCATTCCCACTCCCTCTCTAGTCGAAACATGGCTTCTTCCTGGAAGGCTGGAAGTCATTCTCATCTCTAGGGCTTCTCAGAAGTAGAAGCAAAGCTGAAAGTATCTCATTCTAGGCAACTATTGTTTCTTTTTCTCTCTATTCTTTTACTTGCATCTATTCACGTACATATACTAACACAACAGTGCCTTGCTTTAGACAGACTTGTTTCACAGCCCATAGCTGAACGTAGCTGAATACCAGTTTTAGATGTCTGAACTAAAAATAAACACTCCCTGCTAACACCTACACAACTAAAACTGCATACTAATTATCATAACAGCCAGCTTTCCAGTTCCCATTTTCCAGTCATGGCCCTGGACTTCCTAAGAAAACTTCAGTGCACTACACTAACCCATCTTTAGAGGCTGATGTGGAGATTCAGAATACATCTAAAATGCAAAGAGGCACCAAAACAAACTACACAATGAATCTGAAACAGCAACAGCAAAGTCATTCTTCCATTTAAAATTAAACTGAGAAATAACACCAGCTCCAGCTGGTCAGATATGGACTGCAGCAATAATTTGGTCCAGGTTTTTGAATCTCTTACATTAGCATGCAGCACCAATACCTAACTTTAACATCTGTGGTTCCTCAGAGGCTGTTTCTGAAAAGTGACAGCCTAGCTGGACTGCTCACCACAGACCTCAGTAACAGCACGAAAAATGAAGATGTGAGCGGGCAGCTTACTATATGAACCACTTCAATGACAGCTGCATCACAGGTTTTGTTCATTGCCCAGTTTTTGTTGAAAAAGTTGGAAGTTTTGACATTGTAGTCTTCTCCTATAGAAGCATGGTTTAATTGATAAATTCATTGTTTATTTAGGTCAGGATGTCTCTGTGCCTAATCTAATACAGTTGTACAGGATAAGATATCATTTGCTGGTCAGCAAGAGCTCTGAGGTGGTTTATTTCATGCGCCTGCTTGTAGCCAATGCCCATGTGAGAATATATCTGGCTTCACAAGAATGCATCACTTCTAATCGCCGGCTTCATCTTCATGTGCATTACGCTGCAGATAACATCCTGTCTTTCCTGCTATTTCCTACACAGTTAATCCTTCTGTCACTCAGATTACTTTTTCACGGGCCCACTGTGATGCATATTAGAAATCTCAGGACTCATGACTTAGTTACCAGACACTTAGTTATCAGATTCCATTGAGACTGCCTCAAGGGAGGAGAAAAACACCCTATTTGGCTTTTAATATATAGTTCGTTTACTCGTTAAAGCACTTGACTTGTCACTGAAATGCTGGTACACTGCATTTTCTGGTTGGTAAAAGTTAGTAAGGAGCAAGCCAACATATTTTAACTCTCTGCTGTGTTACTACTGAATGTTGGTAGCTTTTTCAAGGTCCCATCTACATCTGTTTTCCCTTTTGAGGAAAGGAAGTCCAGGGCATGTATTTGCTAGCAGGATCTTGTAATGGGGTAACTTATTTGACTGGCACAATATAAGGTCCAATTTTAAAAGCACACGATTAACTTTAAGCGCTAATTTTCCCATTCAAGCTGGTCATTATTTCTTCGCCCAAGTGCTTTGTTGAACTGGGCCCTGAATATGAAGCAGCCTTGTGTTACAAAATTAATTTAATCTCTGCCCCAGCAGCTTACTGCTTTGCTGACAGAACCAAACAGGGAAATTATATACTCTCTTTGCCATAAGAATTAATAGTACTGCAGATATGACTAGTACCTGAGAGAATGACCATCAGGAGAAAAGGGTTTCAAAGCAAACCTGAAAAATAAGCCAAAATCTACAAGTTTTACACCTTACTGGGATGTGTTGTGTGTTCAGGTTCTATGAGCTGCGAAAGAATGAGACCCTTGGGAGCAAAACCCTGCAGGCAAGACAATGGGGCTGGGAGCCATGGTGGGATCAAGGGGACAGTGTGAGGAGCAACCTTACCTGCCCTCCTCTGCAACTCACACAGCACAGCACAGCACTCACCCGTCTGCCATGCTGATGGGGAGAAGCATCCTCTCATTGAGGACAGTGTGGAAATTAAACCTATCTGCATCAGACCCCCAGCTGCAAAAGCCAAATCTAGGACAGTGCCATTGCAGGGATGGTGGCAGGGCTTTTTCAGCTGATGGTAAAAATGAGTCTCCTTGGAGAAATACAAAGGCGAGATGCTGAGTAGTGTCTGTTATTTTACACCACCTCATTGTACCCGAGGGTCTTGTGGGGTTGGATATGACAGATATATCTGTAACCATGTTTGGAAAAGAATTCTTCATCCTTGTCAGTCCTGGAGCATGCCCCTCTAACTGTACCTGTCACTTTTTACTCAGGTTTTTTTCTTTTCCTTTTTATTTTGCTGGTTTTGTTTGTTTGTTTGTTGTTTTTGTTTGTTTGTTTGTTTGTTTGTTTTTCTGGTTTGGATTCAGAGTTCAGCTTTTTGAAGGATATTTAAGTAAGTCTTCGTGGTAGAATGGTGTGAAAGTGTAGAAAAGACTTCTGGGATTATTTTGGGTCAATCTTTACCACATTTGTCCCCCTCCTTTCTTGTCTCATAGGGGTGACTTCAGGTGAAAGATGGTGCAGGGACAATGCAAGCATGTCTCAAGGCCCTCTGGCCCTTCATTCCCTTCCCTCCACAGCCCAAATATTTACAGGGTAGTATAGAAGACAAACATTTGTAAAAATCCAAGGTTGTTTCTCTGCCTGGATGGCAAAATTGAGGAGACTCAAGGTGCATAAGGAAGTTTAAATAATGCAAGGTGTGGGATGTCATCCATCTAAGGAACAAAATGTGAGTGTTTGGATTACTGGGATTATCCTGCATTTTAGAGATGATGTATGGAACCTCATTCTTTGTTCTCATCTTACTGTCATCTTGTTCAGTAAAAATTTGGTTTATGGCAAAGATTTCACACTGCCGGACTGAGATGCCTGCATTTCCTCTGGCACTCTGTCTACATCCCCACCTCTTGTCTCTCACTTTGGAAATGCACTTGTTCATTTGGAGTGAGACAAGGGATTTTGGTTCTACCCCCAGCTGCACAGCCACCAGTCCTCTCCACAAACCCTCACAGGGCTGCAGGCTGCATCCATGGCAGCAGCCAAGTTACAGCACTCAGAAGGGCAGCTGTCCAAAATCTGTCCTTCAGTTTATATTTGTCATCTTTGCTGTGAACATCAGAGGAAAACTTCAACCCATTTGCTGTATAAATAGGGTGGCAGAGCTATCCATGGGAAATACCTCTGAAAGCTCCTTTTCTGTAGACTGTTTTGTCCTTGAAAGCCGGCGTAGAATTTCAGCAAAGCTTTTTGTGCTTGGCATCAAGGAAAAAAAAAAAAAAAAGGAAAACTGTGTCACAGCCTCACCCAGTACTTCCTTCTACTGAGCAGGGGCTGAGTGAGCTGCTGCAGCCTCCTCCCTTGCAGCATCCTTTGGGGCACTAGTATGTAGGTCTGTGCCTGTGGCAACCTCCTAGCTAAAGCCTGGATGCTGACTGTTCTTTTTGGATGAGTCCCTTACACCCTGTATGATGGCCTCAAGCCTATTTATGCCCACATGTCCTGTGTAAAAAGGGAAATAGAGATAAATTCAGCAGTTACAGCACTAAAATAAAATTAGACTTACCATGGTTTAAAAACAAGAAAAAGAGCCAAGGGGTTTTGTGTTTGCATTTAGCAGTTTTATGGCAGTCTCTGCTATGAAATAAATTGTATTACTCTGTTAGAGCTTGATATGAGATAGGTTTTCTACCAGCCTGTCTCAAAATCTGAAAAAATCTGGTATTACAAACATATAAGAGACAACCCGCTGTGAGGTCTGTCAGACATGAAGAATCGCAGAGAGCAAATTATATAATCCACCTGAGCATCTCATTCCAGCTCTGCAGGAGATGGGGCATGACACAGTGTTTTGTGTGAAACAACAGATTTTTCTGTGCAATGTTTTTGTAGGAAGATACTGCTTTCAGATGTGACCTCATCTACGGAGTGTAAAGACGGATCTCAGCAAGATGGGTTCCGAACTTCTTGATGAAAACAAGCAGCCCATCAGTGAAAACCAGAGTGTTGAAAGGTGAGTGTAGCTTGAGCAAACTGCCTCTTTATTGTGTCTTCTAGAACAAGCAGAAAGCAAACTACACTAAATTGTGAGGAGCTATCAACTCCCTTAAGGGCAGAAAGGTCCTGCAGAGAGACCTCGATAAATTAGAGAGATGGGCAATCACCAGTGATATAAAGTTTATAACAAGGGCAAGTGCCACATTCTGCACCTGGGACAGGGCAACTCAGGTTGTGTGTATAGACTGGGGAATGAGAGGCTGGAAAGCAGTGCTGGGGAAAAGGACTTGGGGGTCGTGGTAGGTGGCAAGTTGAATATGAGTCAGCAGTGCCCTGGCAGCCCGGAGGATTGACCGTGTCCTGGGAGGCATCAGGCAAAGCATCGCCAGCCGGTTGAGAGAGGGGATTGTCTTGCTCTTCTCTGCACTGGTGCAGCCTCACCTGAGGGCACTTGATCTGTTAAACCTGGAGGAGAATGAGGGGAGACCTCACTGCAGTCTTCAACATCCTTATGAGGGGTAGCAGAGGGACAAGGACCGATCTCTTCAGTCTTGTGACCTGTGACAGGGCTTGAGGAAATGACATGAAGATGAGTCAGGGGAGGTTTAGGCTGGATATCAGAAGAAGTATTTTCACCGAGAGGGTGGTTGAGGCTCCCCAGGGAAGTGGTCACAGCACCAAGCTTGTCTGAGTTCAAGAAGCATTTGGACAAGGCTTTCAGATGCATGGTGTGATTTCTGGGTCATCCTGCACAGGGTCAGTAGTTGGATTCAGTAATCCTGATGGGATCCTTTGAACTCATCATATTCTATGATTCTATGGAGAAATGTTCAGAATATTTAGCATAATAAGGTTGTGAGGTGGACACTTTAATGTCACACAGGTCTGAGCAGAAGTACAGGCACTTCCCAGACTACTCAAAACTCACCATTTTGTCAACTTCCCTTTTCTTGTTAGGATAAATTAAACATGAGATAAGGTTGTTCCCTATATATCATATTGCACCTACTTCTTGCTAAAGTCAGACAATGAAAAAGTACAGAAAATGCAAATGCAATAAAACATTTTGGAACGTTTGTCAAAACCATTCATTATTTGAAGACGGGATTAAGTTGATGTTACATAAAAAATCTTGATTTGGTTATTTGATCATCATCTCATGTAACAAGAAAAAAAGCACGCATGGGGGAGGAAAGAAATGCAAGAAGTATGGTGAAATTTGAATTTCTATTTTAATGTTATTGCTTCTGCCTTGCCTTTTTTCACATAACCAGAATGGTGGCTGACAGTCTGATTCTGTAGTTTTCAGACATCAACTGTGCCCCCAGCAGCTGAGATGGGACAGAAAGATGTTGAAGGCTTCACTTCCACAACAGACAAGAAAGAACCAGAGTGGCAGAAGGAGAAGGTAGGATGGGGACTTCTAATGGGTCTGAGATAAAGACCCCTCAACCATCTTGTACTGCCCATAGCTGATTCATGGTGAGAACATGGGCAAGTAACTTGTATTCCCTTGATCTCACTGCAGTCAGAATTTTTGTGGGTGATTGAAATGGCTTTCACCCTCTGTTTCATGTGCTTTTGGGCAGAGAAGGGGATGGAGCATGCACAGAATCACACACAGAAATATTTACCAATAGCATCATGTCAAAAGATAACTTGTGAGGCCAGGCAATATTCTACTTTAGCTAATTGCAAACAAGGAATTTATGTACATTGTGTACTTTCCAAATACTGTGAATGTCCTGATAATTAAAGACAAATGGAAAACAACACCAAATATGTTTTAAATTATTTAAGAACTTACCTTGAAAACAGCTTTCATCTTTCCAGTGTTCTTAAGTGACACCTACTGTTATCTTAATGTTTCATTCATATTGTGAATATTATGTCCTTAATGGGAAGCAGACTGTTCCCGCAAAGGCATCTTTAGAAACTTTTACCTTTTTATTGTCTGTTGATTTCACAATCAGGCCTCACAGGGAAACTTTATGCTACCTTGAACTGAAGCACACAGCTGTGAAGAATCAAGAACCCTTGTATAAAAAGAAAAGAGGAAAATCTCTAGTCTCCACTGCATTTTTTTCTTCTTAACATTTATTTTGATTTTTCATTACATATTTTTGATTTTAATTTTCAGATTGCAATATTCCATGAATACAAACTTCTCAAGCACCAACAGGTTCCTTGTCCAGAGTACATCAATAACTTGCAAGCAAGTGGTCAAATAATAGCATATCCTGCTACTAATGATTTGATAAAATCTGTAGTATACACACTTTTCACATTTTTACTTGATGCCCAGCAATGTCCAGATGCCCTTATTTCTCAAGGATTGGTTAACTTGAGCAAGACCACCTTTTCTTGAGAAGAATGCAGCTGGACAACACACTGGCTGATAATGAAGTCAGAAATAACCTGTGGTAAACAGGATCCTCAATCAGGGATAGCATTTGGTACACCAGGTATATGCTTAAGGAGAAATCCAGTTCCTTATTTAAAGGCTTTGCAGTTTAGACACAAGAACAAGAAGACATGAGACTAGAGTTGCTGCCGCTGGTAAATACAAGCAAGAGGACCTTTTTCCTGTTCATCTGGCCCTTCCACTAATTTCTACATGTAACTGCAGTATAGAATGGATTGGAAGCTGAATTCATGAACACACACATGCACACACACTTCTTCCACCTTATATCTAAGACAACCCCAAATAACTGGCAAAGGAAGGATTTGATTGTTTTTTTTCTGAAAGGAATAAAACCAATTAGCATAATTAACATTAGAATTCCTATAGATAGGTATTGAGACACGCAAAACTTACAGCAAGACTTGTGTTTCGTCTCCCATCTCGCTAAGCCTGTGACCACCCTGTGTCTCACTCTGTCCACCTTCACCCACCTACTAACCCTTTTTCTGTCACAGGCATGTTTGCAGGAGTCATTGAGGAGGTTAGAAGAAAAGACAAAGGACTTTACAAAGGTATGAACATGGTCTTGTGAAGAAAGAAATAAACAAGATATGTGAAGAGTGCAAGGCTTGATGATAAGATTATTAAAAATAGATTGTAAGTTTGGAATTGCCCCAGAGCAATGAAGACCATGTCAGGGCAGCTCTGTGATGTACAACTCTGTCCAGAGTGCAGCAAAGATTTTGCTGGTTGTCACTGGTGTGACAAAACTCCCCTGTCATTGCTGTCTCTGAGTGCAAGGATTTCTAGGGAGTCACAGTAGCTCCAAGTTTATGGCTTACTGAGTCTTTAAGGTCTTTTCTAATGCTGCTCAAGGTGAATCCCAAATTGTTTGGTCCCAAGGCATGTAGTTATCTATGAAGAAATAGACATGATCCACCTTTCTTTCACAAATATCAGCTGGTGACTGATCAATTTTCAACTGTACATTTTCCTAATCTCCTATTTTGTGGACATAACAATGGCTTAAAACCATCAGGTTTTCTTCTCATATTTTATCACAGGAACAAATACAAGCATGAGGGTAGCTGGCACCTTGGTTTTTCGCTCCAGTGGAAGGTGCCTTGGGTTTCTAAACACATAGCTGCAATTTAAATTAGCCTTCTAGAATTAAAATCTTCCATATTCCATCAATTATCATAAGATTTAAAAAAAGTGCAGTGCTAAACAAAATAGACTGTTTTGACTTACAAATTAATTTTCCTGCCTCCCTCCTGGCCTGGACAGGCTGCTGTTTCTTTTTGTTCAATACGAATAAAGGAGAGATTTTTTCCAACAAAACAATTTAATGCAAGCACTTGTCATAGCAAAGTCTACAGCAAAGTTTTTAAGTTGTGCACATGTCTGTGATTTCATGCAAAGTTATAGAAAAGCAAAACTTTTGTACAGGAGAGGCCTCCATTAACCAGGCCTTCTTGATTTATGAGTCAGCAGAATCATGGGATCACAGAGTAATTCAGGTGGGAAGGGTTTGTGGGGGAATCTTAGGTCTGACTCAAAGTTCAGAGCAGGGTGCTCAAGGGCTGCATGCAGCCGAGCTGAAAGAACTCCATGAATGGAGCCTTTCCATCCTCCTCTAAGTGCCAGGTAGAGGAAGAGAGCTCTTTCCACACCCTACAGACTGTGCTTCTGCCAATAGGGTTGGGAGGCTGCTGGTCTCCATTGCTGCCAGGGCACAATGAGAGCTCCTGCTCATCTTCTATCCCATCACCCTCAGGCCTTTTCTGCACTCCCCAGCTCCTGAGGATGCTTTTCTGCTCAGGGCATTCTGCACCCCAGAGGCCACTAAGTCCCCCATCCCTTGTTTGTGGTGGTAGAAGAGCTAGGACACTTGGCTGATGTATGACATATTGTCCAAGTCCGTGACTGCACAGGCAACTGTCCCTTGCCATCAGCCCCTCAGCATTAACTTACATGACCATGGCTAAGCAGGGCTGCAGGTGACTCTGCAGCATACATCACATGAATTAAAAAAAAAAAAATACTTACAATATATTTGTTTCTTCCCTTGGCATTTACCTTATCACCTCAAGTGCAAAACCGAAATTATTTTATCTTTTTTTTTTTCACCAGTACTTTACCTTCCTGTCACTCCAGTCTGGCACATAATGCAGGTGCTGCAGAGCACTAGTTACTGCTGATAATCAAAAAATTCCTCCCCAATGGTCACAAGCAGCTGGCTTGTGTAGATCCTCTGGGTCTGATAAAATAGTTATAATCACCCTTAAAGCATTTATCTCAGTGTGAACACCCTCTTCAGCTTCTGTCTTCTATCCCACTGCCTATTCTTACCAAACAGATAGGAATTTTATTTCTGTAAGATTTTCCTTCACTGCTGATATGAGCCACAACATCTCTGGCTAGAAAGACTATCAAACACACAGTGTGATCACATAATCCTCACTTCCGATAAATGTTTGATGGATAGGAACTGCTGGTTTGTAGCTTTTTAGAAGCTCTTTTTACAGATGACTCCTCTTCTTCCAAGAGTAGTCTCTTTACACTGAAAATTTAATCAACACTGTTTTTGATATAAAAAACTTTCTCTTGACAAGTTATACTTGATTTTATTATTTTTTAGGCAAAAAGCAAAATATTGGAAGAAAGAGAATTAGTCATATCACAGGACAAAGTCTTAGAGGTATGACATTCTATTGCATATCATAGTACATGCTTGCTCTTTGTTCAGACAATCACTATCCTAGAATAAATTTTACAAAGGTGTCAAACAGAGAAACAAAAGAGTAAAATACAATACAGGTAAGAGTGTGGGGAGTAGACCTGCCATTAGCCTCAGAAATACAAAAATAATGCAACACCGAGATGTTTTCAGTTAGAAGTTTTGCAGACCACAGTCTGCAAACCAGCAAGAGTGGTTTTAAAACAAGTAACCTCGTATTATTTGGAACATAAGTCATCCAGAACATTACTGCAATATAAAACTAATACCAGGAGGGCAAATTCCTGTAGATTTCTATCAGAGCCAATTTGGGAGACCAGCATATAATATCTGCAAGGGCAACACTGGTGCTGATCTCATGCTAATAAGCGCTGACTTGACTTTTATTGCACATCAGACTGATGGACTAATACTAAGATTGTTTGCTCTTCTTTTGAACTTTTAAGGGCATGCAGATAAAAATAAAGCACTTACACAAGCAACTCAAGCACCCTGAACTAGTTGGGTCGTAAGTATTAGCAATGTCCTCTATTCTGGGTTCCTTTTTTTTATAGTGTTCAGAATGTTTCCCACATCATCCATACATGAAGCACATGCTTCATGATTGTAAGTTAATATGGTTTATGCAGCACCAAACAAGCACCTCATATTTATGTAGAATAGCTTCTTTTTCTGTTGTATAATCACCCAACCACAGCAATGCAAATGAAATTTAGATGTGTAATGTCTCATTCTTAGCAGATTCTGGGAGTAGCTTATCTTTTACTCAATAGACCAAAATTGTAAGGCATTTCCTGGATGTTGATTTCAATACTCTGTCTTAATAACTTGTATCAGGTTCATAGTACTATTTTGCAGAATAAAAAGCAAAAGCAGCACCTTGAACAGCAGCAGCATAGCCTGCAGCTACACACTTATTTTCACAAGCAAGTGTTCCCTTTTCATGGCCAGAGTCCAAGTGACACTTAAAACATGCTCCCCTCTCAACTCACTCCTGGACTGTAGTTTCCTTTAAGCAACGAGGTTAAATAGGATCTCTGAATTTCAGAACACATCTAAGTACCAAGCCCAGCATTAGGCTTCTCACTCTTACTCTCCTGTTTCTCAACTGCATAGCAATGCAGAAATCCTCCAACTTCAGTATACATGAGGGGTCAAGCATTCCTTCTAGCAATCACTTGCAAATTAAGCCTCAAGTATGATGTGTCAGCATAAGTATGAGCCCCTTTTAAAATCTCCTCTTTCAGTCCTCTGAAGTGATTTGAGATTTAGTTTTGTGCTCTGTGTTCTGCAGAGAAGAGCTGTGTAGTAACATTATGTATGCACTGCATGAACTGTAAGAACTGAGGCTGAAATATAATCTAAAGTTTAAGGCAGTGAGTATTTTGGACGATATCTGCTGCTTGCAACAGCACAGCTATCCCCACACCTGAGGGGCACTACAGATGTATTTCAGTTACTGTAGTGCTTCTGTCAGGCAACATCATCAGAGAAGACACTACCAGATCATACCTTGCCACCATGGTAGCATGTTTAATGGGAGAAACCAGGTAATACCAATGCTTTCCTTTAATAAAACAACCTAAATAGCACTTGCTCTAGGCTGTTGGCATGCTTTCTTACCACTGTGTGGCTATTTGAGGATTGCCTAGTTTTGTCTGTTATCAAGACTGGGTGAACCCATGAATTCAGTTGTTATGTGCAGTAATTCTTATGAAAGTGCATCAGGTAAAAAGGGTTCCCAATCTAGGTGCTTACGAATACATGATAAGGTACAATATCCCACCAGAAGTTTGAGGCTTTCTCTAGGTGCTTGGTTAACATGCAGCAGGGGATGGTATAGCATGGCAGCACCGAAATGGTCATGATGGCAATCATTCTTTTTCTTTCTGTTAACAGGAGAAACTCAAAGGAATTGCATATAGAAGCTGTGGGAGCAGGAGGCAGGTAAAGAAGGGGGAAGATGAAAAAGAATACACAAGATAAAAAGCGTGTGCTTTGGTGGAGAAGGCAGTTTGAACAGCCTGG